TCCTTATATATCTTCACCATCACCCTCCAGGAGATGCATCCAGTTACCAGAAGACCATTTTACTCCATGCCTCAGAGGCTATAACTACAGCCAAGTGACCCAGCACTGACAGTAGCATCTGAACATATATTTCGCAGGCAGCAACTAGTCAGCACCAAACCCACACATTCTTGTCATGACATGGCTCTGGTTACTGCAGATGGTACATGTGAAGGGGATGGTAGCTGCAGTGCTGGCAGATACCAGGATACAAGGTGAGACTGCAGTGAATGCTTTGATGGCTCTGAGATGCAAGACTGCAACCACCTGCAAGCCACCTGCAAACCTGAGAAGACACTGGTAAAGACAGAAGGGGGCTATCCTGGGTCTCCCAAGACCTCTTCTTTCTACTTTTCCTTTCTGCAGGTGAGAAAGCAGTGGGATGTCCTGAGAACAGTGCAGTGCTCCTTCCCATGCCCATCAAAATGTCTTTTGTGATCACAAGCATTCCATGTCAGAGGACGGGAAATACTAGAAAGAGAATAGAGTAAAGCTCTAGGAATAGTCTTTCTTTCTTAGCCCTTTCACTGCTCCTCTTCCCAGCCTTACATATTAGGTTATTGTAACACTGTCACCAGCCACAGTGAGAATAGTGTCAGCCATATACTGCGGGAATGGAAATAAGGGGATGAGCTCAATTTCCTCTTCTAACATAAGCTAGGCTAAACAAGGGGACTCAGGCAAGAAAATGAGGACAACTATCAGCTCCCCCAGACACACAAGTAAAGTATTTATTGTATTTGTGTGAGGGCTCCCTACTAACATTTTTATTTCTCTAGAGCCCTACTGCATACAAGAAAATAGAGAACAGCATTGGACAGGGCTAGAAAACCAGAAAGAAAAGGCTGTAATTAGTACAGGACTAGAGACAGATCTCAGCTTCTGTTGAGTTCCCTTTCTCTGCTGGCAAAAGCTAACAGCCTTCTGCTCTTAAGGCACAAGTTATTTCATTCCAAGGCCATGCTGCTGCTATGGTCTTTAAAAATGAGAAGGCTGGTCAACATGGAAGGTAAGTGGTTGCTTTCTTCTCGCTCTCTACTGCGGACAGGTGACAAAAACAAGTGAGGAAAAAGGATGCACTGATCAGCTAATGATCAAAGTCACAGAATCACAGAATCATTTAGGTTGGAAGGGACCTCTGGAGATCATCTAGTCCAACCTCCCTGCTCAAGCAGGCTCACCTAGAGCATATTGCCCAGGATCACATCCAGACGGGTTTTGAGTATCTCCAGCAAAGGACACTCCACTACCTCTCTGGACAACCTGTCCCAATGCTCTGTCACCCTCACAGTGAAGAAGTTTTTTTCTCAGGTTCAGGTGGAACTTCCTGTGGTTCAGTTTCTGCCCATTGCCTCTTGTCCTGTTGCTGGGCATCACGGAGAAGAGTCTAGCCCTGTCCTCTTGACACTCCCCCTTCAGATACTTGTACACATTTATGAGATCGCCTCTCAATCTTCTCTTCTCCAGGCTGAACAGGCCCAGCTCGCGCAGTCTTTCTTCCTAGGAGAGGTGCTCCAGCCCTCTAATCCTCTTGGTAGCCCTCCGCTGGACTCTCTCCAGGAGTGCCATGTCTCTCTTGTACTGGGGAGCCCAGAACTGGAAGCTCCTTCTCTGCAGGGCTGCTTTCCAGCAGGTCAACCCCCAGCCTGTACTGCTGCAGGGGGTTCTTCCTGCCTAGGGGCAGGACCCTGCACTTGCCTTTGTTGAACTTCAGGAGGTTCCTCTGCCCACCTCTCCAGCCTCTCCAGGTCCCTCTGCTTGGCAGCACAGTCTTCTGGTGTGTCAGCCTCTCCCCCCACTTTAGTATCATCAGCAAACTTGCTGAGGGTGCACTCTGTGCCTTCCTCCAGGTCATTGATGAATACGTTGAACAAGACTGGACCCAGGACTGACCCCTGGGGGACACCACTAGCTAACACCTCCAACTTGACTCTGTGCCATTCACCACAACCCTTTGAGCTCGGCCATCCTGCCACTTCTCAATCCACCTCACCAACCACTCATCCAACCCACACTTCCTGAGCTTGCCTAGGAGGATGTGATGGGAGACAGTGTTGGAAGCCTTGCTGAAGGCCAGGGAGACCACATCCACTGCTCTGCCCTCATCTACCCAGCCAGTCATTCCATCCCAGAAGGCTATCCGATTGGTCCAGCATGATTTCCCTTTGGTGAATCCACACTGACTCCGCCTGATCACCTTCTTGTCCTCCACATGCTTAGAGAGGACCTCCAGGAGGAGCTGTTCCATCAGCTTTCCAGGGAAGGAGGGGGGGCTGACAGGCCTGTCATTCCCTGGCTCCTCCTTCTTGCCCTTTTGGAAGGCTGGAGTGACACTGGCTTTCTTCCAGTCCTCAGGCACCTCTCCTGATCTCCAGGACCTTTCCAAGATGATGGAGAGGGGCCTAGCGATAACATCTGCCAGCTCCCTCAGCACTCGTCGGTGCATCCCATCAGGGCCCGTGGATTTATGGATGTCAAAGTGTCTCTGGATAACTCTCTGGTGGAGCAGTGATTGTGATGCTTGCCTGAACAGCATCAGCAATACCTCTCTCAACTAAAAGCAACTGCCCTGAAACACAGTTTTGAGAAATATGCCAGCCCCTTGTTCCTACATATAGGGGAAGGGAGATATCAGCAACAGTCTCATCCCAGTTCCTTACTGGGACAGGGATACTGGGAGATATTGGTCTGACAAGCAAAGGACAAATGCCCTTCTCACGATACCATCCTCCTGACCACTGCTTTTCATAGTAATCCTTAACTTTCCATTGCCTTGGATTACTGATCCATCTCGTGCTTTCAAGTCAGAAGGTGTTAAAATAGAGCTCACTGCTGAGCACAGTTGCTCCTGCAACATGCATCACTGCATTTACCACAGTGGCAGATCTTCTGTGTCACTAGCCATTTGGGATACTGAGGTTCTTCTATGTATCAGAAGATATCAGTCAATTTTAGCTTAAAATATCCCAAACAATTTAAAATTAACAGCAAGCTCCATCTCCTCCTGGCTATAGAGGAACAGTAGTAAGTGTTCTGGAAAAGAAATGAACAGGTAAAATTCACTTGGCCCACTCTTTTGTGTGTTTAAAAAAAAAAAAAAACCAAAAACCACACACACGAACTTTGAGTCAAATATATATTTAAGTGGGCGATCAGTATGAGGAAATTCCTTATTAATAGAAGTTCAAGAACTTGCAGAAACTATCAAAACACTGCCCTTGCTTTCAAGAGCTAACAGAACAATCACTTTAATCAAGTTTACACCATCATAACCACAATGCTTTTTGAAGCAGATCACTTATGAAGGGTGATCTGATTTAAGTTCATCTATGATGCGTAGCAAAGTATTTACCGGGAAATGGAAAGACAGAATAACTGACCTAACGAGTGCTCAAGTCAAACAGATTTAGTAATAATGGGGGGAGTGGCAGGTGAAAACTAAGTTTCATCATCTGTAATAGGGCAAGATGGTTATTAAAGGTGGTAAGTGTAACAAAAAAAGAATACTATAAGAAAGAAAGTAGATAACCGCAGATATAAGCCAAAAAAAATAGAATATTCAGACAGCTGAAAAACCTCAAAGCAGTCAGATTTGCACACAGCTGAGGACAACCAAGAGGAATGTTCATATTGAATACATTGGAAAAAGAAAATGGGTTATTTTAAAGATGCAGAGTTAATACAAAGATTTAATGATGTAGTCAGAACAGCACGTCACTATCACTTGACTACGCTTAACTGTGCTTCTGCACAGTAGTTTGGGTTTTTTTTTTTTTTTTTTTTAATTAGCATCTTACTTCACACTGCGTTTAATCATTTTTAGAACATACATTCTAACACTTTAACAATCAAATTGGACTGTTAGCTGAAAAATTTTTTTTACCAGATTGGTTCCGAAAGTCAGAAGTACAGGATTCCCTCATTTCAGTAAACCTGAAAAATCTCAAAGCCATTGCAGGTTTTAGCGTTCACACAGCCCTGAACCTCTGGACCATTATTTCACTTCACAACACTGACAATACTTCCAAGTCTCTTCTTTCAGATATGTGTATAGAACAAAGGGAGAGGGGAAGCATCTAACAAATGCAGTCCAGAGACCAGTAAAAGTATCTTAAAGTCACTGCCTTTGACATACCACAGCAGAGCCTGAGGAATCCAGACAAAGTTATTAGAATATGTCCAAGAATCAGGACTTTTAAAAAAAAACTTGGATAAAAATGAAGAAAGTAAGCTCAAGGGCAAAATAAGGATTTATTAAAAATCAATAAGGATTGATTAAATACTGAAGAGTTAACAGAAGTCAGTTTATGTTCATGCTAAAAACCTAATGAGAATATACGTATGCTTCATGCTTGCCTTGTTTTTACTCTCGTTACATGCACACTGTTAATAAATGCAGGAGGCAGACGGCAATTCTAAGACGCATATTCCCTTCTGTACTCTCCCAGCCTCCAACAACCTACAGCTTAGAAGCTCTCTGAACCAGATACAGTTATTCTGTTTCAAGCATAATTTCACACAGGACAAAAGATGTAAGAATGTATTTTGTTTAGAAAAAAAAAAAAATCAAGCTATTTGGAAAATATAGAAATTATATCATTAAGTGGCACAAATGGACTTTAAAGTGTTTGATTTCTGGAAGTACAGAAATAACTAGGCAGGCAGATCACTCCCAAAACAAGACACTATCATATTTGGTCCATTTCAACTAAAGTGCAGTAATTCCAACCCTCCTCCCAGTACCCCTAGTATTAGATATATATACACACATTTATATGTATATATATATATATACACACATACACACACACACTGTATATATATAGATAGATAAAAGCAGCTACATAGCAGCAGTCCTTTGCAGTCCACAGCAGTCCTTTGCATCAACACAAGTTACCAAGCAGGTAACCACAAGGCTTTCCACAGAAATTTAACTTCATCTGTGAGGTGGGACACCTTACCTTGCAGAGTGCCTCCAAGAGATGGCCAAGTGGGGGGTTTTGACTGGTACAGGATAGGTGGGACTGTCCCCAGCTGGGTCACTGACTACATCCTTCCTTCATATGGGAAGGAGAGTCCTGGGGGAAAGCAGATACAGCAGAATAGGGAGAAGCAAAGCATGGCTTAGAAAAAACAAAAAACAAAAGTATCAGCCAGTTTGCCTCCAAGATCACAGGAAACGGCCCAGATCCCCTATCATGATGGGAACACTCAGCAAAGAGTGGTTCACGCTACAAGGACACACTTAGTTCTAGAGGGGCTAACAAAGATCATCTCCTGTAAAAAGCAAAGTTTGCCTAAACTCTTTCAGATTTTTTCACCTTATCACATCAGCAGTCAGAGTGGGGACCATAAAAGAAAAGGTGACGTTCAGGTTGTTGCAACTCACAGGATGTGCTCACCACGTGGGAGTACACCAAGGCCAGTGCTCAGCTCACCAGCTTACCTGTGATAAGGGAACAGGCTACAGAGTATAGCAAAGTAGTAGTCCACAGCAGAACAGACCTGCACAAAAACTGACAGGACCCCGAGCACTGTATCAGCAGCAGGAACTAGAAGATCCAGTGAACCAGATCTTTTGTGCTGCGAGCCCTACCTGAGCAAAATAAGAGCAGCAGCTTACACTTTCAGCGCTAGACCCCAATACCCTAACTCCTGGGAAGGGCACTATTCTCATGCCTCACCCTAAAGGAGGGCTCCAGCACAACCAGCCTGCAGAGGCAGCCAGCGGTGCCACTCCAGTCCAGCTGTAGACATAGGGTTTGCTCCAGGCGTGGGAATTTCACTCAGTGTCGATACTGGCCTTATCCTAGTTTAGGTGTCACCAGGAGTCTCTTCTCCCCACCTAACGGCAAGACAGAGAGCCCCCAAAGGGCCATTCAGATACAGAGACGTTTGACTTCTACAGCCTCCCGCAGAGACGCCGAGGTTCCGCCCGGCCCCGGCGGCTGTCGCCTCCAGCCCGGAGCAGGACAACTGGGCAGAGCCAGGACTACCTGCCCCAGGGCACTGCACAGCCGGGCGGGGA